TAGGAAACTTCATCTTGGGACTTTCAGCCTCTAAAACTGGTTATAATACCATCCAGGTAATGGGACTGGTATAGCAACCTGAAGGGACTAAGGTATTGAACACAACAGCCCACACAGGAGTGCTCATGTCACACATAATTCTGCCCCCAATCACTGAAGATGCAGGAATGGTCAGCCATAAACAGACAAGGTGAAATGAAGTGCATTTCAGAAAAACTGTGATTACCTGCTGGGGAGAACGGAGGGGAGAGCGCTGGGGAGGCCTTGATGACCAGGTAGAAACAGGTGGGGGGCAGGAGATGGTGACAAGCACACATGCCTGGGGTGTCTAAGGCAGGTGGGAGAAGTCCAAGTGAGACAGAGGACTACCAAAGCTACTACCAGAAGACTTCTCTTCCAAAACGTGCCACTCCCTTCCTACCAAAAGCAAGCCAAAGTACTATGCGATTTCCTTAAGTACAGTGCCCTACTACATGAAGTGATTCAGACATCAGTGGTTTCACAATATCCATCCTCACTCTGCTGCTACTGCCTCTCTATGCAAGGCAGGCGGGATGTCCTGGTTGGACACTAGTTCACAGCAATGCCCATTCACCAGCATGAGGACATTCTCATCCAAAGGGCAAGAGGACAGCACCCAGGATGAGTGTTTCCAAGCGATAATTGACACTCTAGTCTGTCTGTCTGTATGCATCTAGTCTGTCTGTATGCATCTCAGGCTCACTTCAACTCATGACTATCTTGCCTCAGCCTCCCAAATTTTGGAGTTACAATTAGATGCAACTAGGCCTGGCTGAAAACTGATATTCTTGCTTTTTCTCTTCCTTATTAACAAATTCTGTTTATGGTTTACACAAAGTAAAAACCAGGACTGGTACAGCCTTTGAGACATTTTCAACAGCATCCCAGTATTACCAAATTTAGCATTTAAAAAAAAAAAAAGAAAAGAAAATCTGCTGCGTTCAGCGACACCTACAGTTTAAGAGTCTGAAGTGCAGGAACTATGATGGCTCCTGCAGTAACGCCACCCAAGGGTCACCCTAACAGGCAGCTCCTGAAAGACACCTGAGACTAGCTGAGACAACAGCTGCCTGGACACTGGATGTCCCTTTCATCCCATTACTACTGTTCACAGACAGAATCAAAACTGTAATTCAAAACAGAAAAAAAAGCCAGACACCAGTGGCTCACGCCTGTAATCCTAGCTACTCAGGAGGCTGAGATCTGAGGATTGTGGTTCAAAGCCAGCCCGGGCAGGCAAGTCCGTGAGACTCTTATCTCCAATGAACCACTCAGGAAACCGGAAGTGGTTCTGTGGCTTAAGTGGTAGAGCCCTAGCCTTGAGCTGAAGAGCTTAGGGACGGCAATCAGGCCTAGAGTTCAAGCCCCATGACCAATAAGAAAAAGAAAAAACCTATTTTTACAATGTCTACTACTATGGATCTCTCTTAAAACTATGGTTTCCAAATGTAAGCCCACTCTCCAGTCCTGTCTTCTGCCAACAGGGAGATTTTGTGTCCACATGTCCTCCTCTGAAAAATAAGTGCACTGGAGCGTTTTGCTTTTAAGAAGCAAGGGAAGAATGTCCCTATATTGCCCGGCTGGTATCAAACTTGAAAGCTGAAGCAATCCCACCTCCACATCACCAGTAGCTGGAACTATAGACATGTAACACCATACCAGGCTCAAATCTGCACTGGGGCATTTATGATCTTCATTTGAAAAGTACCAGCAGTGACAGGAGGGCAAGACAAGAATGAAATCTAGGGAACTTGCAGCACGGAAGTACTAAAATTAGAGATGGCAAAATTAGGCCAAATCAAAATTTCTCTAAAATATCTCAAGTCACACATACACACACACACACACACACACACACACACACACACAAAGGTTTTATACGTGAGGCACATAAGGCCACTGTGCATGTGGCCTTTTGTATAAAAAATGACGCATTATTTTAAATAAATAAATATGTATAGCACAAGGACAGCCTGAGGTGTAGGGCACAGAGTAGGAACGAAGGCCTAGAGGGAATGGGGCTGACGCAGACATCTCCATTGTGACCACGGTGCTTACAAGACTATTTACCAAAGTCATGAGCTGCATTCCAAAAACAGTGCAGATACACAGGGGCTGGGAATGTGGCTTAGTGGTAAAGTGCTTGCGTAGCATGCATGAAGCACTGGGTTCAATTCCTCAATACCAAATAAACAAAAAGTTTGGAAGTGGCACTGTGGCTCAAGTGGTAGAGCTCTAGCCTTCAGCAAAAGAAGCTCAGGGACAATGCCCAAGCCCTGAGTTCAAGCCCCAAGACTGGCAAAAAAAAAAAAAATGACTGCAGATATGCAGAAATACTACATCTCAGGATGCAGCTAGAGCTCAGTGCCTTGGCGTCCTGTTTGATCCTGAAGGCTGAGAATGTGGCGGTCCTTGTCAAGTGTTGGCAGATCAGGATTCTTACAGCAGCCATCTAACCTGACCAGGGTGAAAGCTAGCAAGCAGCAAGACTAGTTTTCTGAGCATAAGAAGATCAATTCTCCACACTACAACTCAGCAGCGCTCACAAAACTAACATGAACTGTAACCCAGCACCCAACTCATTGGCTCAACAACAAAAAACTAGGGTCCCCACAATACAATAAAGTAACTATGCTAACTGCTACTCAGAAACAAATAACCCTTAATTTTTTAAGAACTTTAAGTACAAAAAAATAGTAAAGCAAAACATATTCTCATTGTGTAAAATTATAAAATACAAAAAAAGTGAAAATGCAAACACTCCAAATTTCACCCCAATAATAACTACCATTAGTAAGTTATTTCCTTCCAGGCTTTTTCTCTGCATATATATATATATATATATATATATATATATATATATATATATATATA